TCAGCACTTGGACATCTGGAAATGAGATAATTGATAGTTTTATTCAAAAATGTCAACAGCTTTCATCTCTTCCAGGTGGAATTATAGAATGGATACCTTATGAGCAATTTTATAACATAAAAAAATTAACAGAAGGTGGGTTCAGTTCTATTTATACTGCTACATGGACAAGAGGAGATATTGATGATTATGATGAAAATAAAAAGGAGTTTAGTTATTTTGGAGCTCAGGATGTAGTATTAAAATCATTAAATAATTCAAGTAATCCAGGAAAACCTTTTTTTGATGAGATAATTGTTCTTATTTAAATTAAAACTGTTTATTTATTTTAAATTATTATTATTATTATTATTATTATTATTATTATTATTATTATTATTATTATTATTATTATTTGTTTGTATACATGCAGCCCAAAGTATTTTGACACTGTCATAAGGGGTTACACATGTAGTAAAGGGTGTTACTATACATGCAGCCCAAAGTATTTGACACTGTCATAAAGGGGTGTTACACTTATGTTTTTAATAGTGAATGCTGTGATTAATTTCTACTTTCTACCATCAAAATTGGAATAGTTTTGACCATCAAAATCACCAAACCAATTTGGGTTGCATGTGTAAGTGTTACACTTATGTTTTAATAGTGAGTGCCATAATTAATTTCTACTTTCTACTATCAAAATTGGAATAATTTTGACCATTGAAATCACCAAACCAATTTGAGCTGCATGTACATTCGTTTGTTTTATTTGTTTTATTCATTTTATTTGCTATTATTTGTTTTTATTCTCTTTATTCCCTTTTATTCACTTTATTCATTTTATTCAAATAAATCTTATTCGAATAGAAACCCTAATTACTGCTCAAGATTATGATATTATTTTAGTATTGCAATTAAGAAAGCTCCTTGTAAAGATCTTTAGAAATGTTTAACCAATAACTCAATTACAATATAAAAGAGCTATTGGTTTAATTCTGGAGATGTGACACATAATCAATATTATTTATTATTTGTAACATCAGTCTCTAATTTATTATTTACTATGTTCACAAATCTTCCAGATAGATTGATAAGAATTTATTATATTTTATCAATCTTTTATTGTTATTTATATTTTATCAATCTATGTAATTTTATTATATAAAGGACATCATTTTAAGTTAATAAAGATAACTTGTATTTTCACAATAATTAAAGTACCTGTTTGAAAAAGAAACATTATAATATTGTTTTATCATTAAGAAAAGTAATTCTTACATTTACCTCTGATTAGTTATTAACATGTTTCTTTTTAGAACCAAATCATGCTAAACAACAACACTCACATTTTGTCATCTATCAAAAATAAATTGTTTTTCCAAAAAGAAAAAAAAAATAGGGTCCATACATAAATAATTAAAGATCAAATAACAAACTCTTCTTTTTATATTAAAAAAAACCATATTGAAAAAAATTCAAAGAAATCAATACGATATTAAAATCTCATTCAAGTAAGTGTTTATTAAAGAATGGTGGTGGTTATTGCCACTTGTCATCACTCTAGTTATTAGTAATAATTTAAAAAATTGTGGTTATTGCCCCATTCATTCTAGTTTTTTTATTAATATTAGCAACAATAAACAAGTGATCTCAAGGATATCAAGACTGGAAAATGCATATGGTGCTTACAAGGACATAAACAAGGAGTTCATTCTGTGGCATTAATTGCTACAAAAAAAAAGATGTGTAAGTGGATCTATGGATGGTGCTGTTAAAGTTTGGAATCTGGATGGTGGAACAAATCTCTGGACAATTGATGGTATTTAAATTTTTTCTTTTTTTTATCCTCCCCTTGTGCACTCAATAATAAAAATTACTTTTTGTTAATAATAGGACTAGAAGATATAGACCCTCATGTATATTATTTACATTTTTTCAATGGTCACATTATTTCAGCTGTAGGAAACTCAAGACTTTGCTTACTAGATCCTGGAAATGGTAGTAATAAAATGAATTTTTCAACAAGTAAAAGTAATCAACACATAAAATGCTTTTATAATGATATTGACAAAATAGTATCTGCAATAAAGACTAGTGCTGTAAATTATGATTATGGTAGTAATTGTATTTATGGCATATAAAAAGTGGTCGCAATTACCTTTGCAACCACTTTTGCAACCATACTTTTTCCTTTTTTGGATTATGGCACTAGTCTTTAATTTGCAACTAGTAATGCAATATGTTTAGGTGGTATAGAAATTCCACATTTAATCAGCCAGTTATCAAATGATTTAAGTGATATTTGGTAGCACCAACATTTTCATAAATTTTCTTGTTTTTTTTTTCTTTCTTTCTTGGAATTAAATTACTTATTAAATATATATATATTATTATAAATTATTACTACTATAGGCAAGTGAAATTTAACGATCATTATTGCATCACAGCAGTAAAGAGATATGGTGACACTAAGGTTTCTGGTCGAAACTGCTTCTATTAGTAGCCAAAATTGCCCAAATACTTTGGGCAAAAATTATTTTTTTATAAGCCCAAACTACTTTTTGTAATTAGCCAAAAATGGGCAAAATTGTTTTAAAGTTGTTTAAGTTAAAACAAGTTGATTCATATGGTTTTTTAATGTTCATGCTTATAAAAAATGTTGAGAAATCCAAATTGCCCAAACTAGTTTGGGCTTTGAGAAAACAGAAACCTTAGGTGACACTTTTTTTAAAATCTTTGATTTTGGAATTTATGGGATTACAGAGCCTAATCCCAAAAATGAAAATGAAGAAGAGCCATCACTGTCAATTCCATCATCACCATTTGAATCGGAAACCTCAGATTGTACATGGGAGTAGAATAGAATAATTTATCAATAACAAAGATGTTAATAGCAGTTGTGACAACATTACTTACAATTATTCCCTGTAACTTCATATTGGTTTATGTTTCTACTGTCATTTAATATTAAATTTTAAATTTTAAAGTGTTAAATTTTATTCTCTCAATGCTGCAAGATGATCTTAATTGTATTATTTATATAAATTTTCAAAATATTTTCAATGAAATGGATGGTTTTTTTATATGTTTGAATGCCATAGTCATGATTAAGGTTTCTGGTCCAAACTGTTTTCTCATAGCCCAAACTAGTTTGGGCAATTTGGATTTCTCAACATTTTCTATAAGCATGGGCATTAAAAAACTATATGAATCAACTTGTTTTAACTTGAACAACTTTAAAATAATTTCGCCCAATTTCGGCTAATAACAAAAAGTAGTTTGGGCTTATAAAAAAATAATTTTTACCCAAAGTATTTGGATAATTTCGGCTACTAATAGAAGCAGTTTCGACCAGAAACCTTAGTCATGATCTTCTTCAAGCAGATTTACAAATTCTTCAATGATAAATATTGAACATCATTCAAAATACAATCAACAGAAAGATTCAGATGTTCAGGAGTTGGTCCTTCCCAATCAATGCTGTATTCATTGTCAATATCCATGACTTCTATACCATGAAAACCACATTCAACCATTCCTTTAAGAAATAGTTGTCTTGGTGTTAAATGTTTTTCAGTCCTTATAGAGTGAAAATTCCAAGATTGAGTAAATGAATCTAATGCCAAATTAATTCATGGAATATATACATAATGCAAAAGAATTTATGTGTATATTGTTATCAATATCTTGTAAATTTTGTACTTCCAAAAAGTAAAAAATTGTTGAAACAATCTAACAACTATTCTATGAACATCTCACCAAAGTCTTTCAATCCTTTGGTTGTGAACACTTCTATCTGCAATATTTAATCTTTTGTTTGTAAGAATCCATTCTGCTACTTTACAATTCTCTATCTCATGATCACCTCTTATTCTACTTGGACATCCCCATTCTTTTATTGCTTCTAGAAAAAGTAAAAGAACTGTAGATGATTTATTATTGATGCACATTTTAAATATGTTATTGTTCATGAATATCCATCAATACCTCCATGCACTACTAACTTCCATCTAATTAATTCATGGTGTCCATCTATATGCCACAAGGAATTAAGACCAGCAACTTTGTATTTATGATGAGGTACAATTTGGATCCATGCCCCAAGAATCAATTGTAGGCAGAAAATCATGGAGATGTTCATGATGTACATTAATATTCAAGGATTTAATAACCCAATAATTATCCTTTCTCCTGAATAGGGTTGTTCATATCAAATCATTCTAACAATATTATCCAGATCTTTTGATCTGATATTATGTATACTTTGATTCTTCTAAAATATTTAATTCTCTTCTACATTGAGACAATGTACTTATGCTTATTCCAAATTTTTGAAATATCAACGCATTTTTAAATAATTTTATTATAGTTTCAGACAAAATTAGCCTTGGTCTACCTAAAAATTAATTGTACATTCATGTTAAATTTAAATTTATATTTGAATGAAAATAATTAAAAATAAAAATTCATTTAAATTTTTCATTATGAAATTATTGTGATTAATTCCAGTATCATTCAAAGAATTGATTCTATTTATTAATTCAGTCTTCACTTTTTGAACTGATGAAATTATGACATGTGTGTGATTATCCATAAAAATACCCGCAATCGCCAAATCAATTTCCAGATGTGGCTACCTCTTTCCCGAACACACCAATAAAATTGGATATTTTCATAATGCTGTGCAAAATTGCAGGTATTTTTACGGATAACTACACAATTATGAAATTATGGTGAAAAACTTTTACTTTCATTTTCATAATTATTTATTACAACTGATAGCATTGATTCAATAGATTCTATTTTCTCATTTATCAATTGTAAAAAATTTAAATCATGTTGTTCTTTAATTGATCTTTTACTTTGTAATATAGTAGTATATACAAATTAAAAAATTCATTTAGATGAAGGTCCATTATTTATATAAAAATCAATTTCTTTGAGAATCAAAAAAAGATATTATTTAAATATACCATTTGCTAATTGCAACAGTTTGGTTTAGTTTTACTTTGTTAATTGTGACATTTACTTAACCTTTTGACCTATCCGGCACACCATATTAGTAGTAATAGTAATATAATTGTAATGTTAAAAAATTTTGAACCCTAAAATATTTTGTAGTACCAATGTTCACTTTGTCTGGTTTTGTTGCAGCATACCCCAATTCTGAAATTAAAATTTTAATATTAACTGCTGACTTGCTATTTACTGCGCAGTAGGAGTTTTTTACATAAGTATATTGCATGATATTAAATTTTACTTCATTTTTAATGAGTTATAAATATATTTTTGATTTTTGGCTTTGCTAAAATAAGGTAACTACATAATACTAATGGCATTGCATTTTTGTAAACTCAAAGTTATGCGAATGTATGAAGCAGATTTAGCTTTAAAAGTTTCGCGTTTTTGATTTGGGATAAAAAAAAAGTTTTAAATAGTAATAATGTATAATAAGAACAATTGTCCCTTTTTTCTAAAAAAAATTTTCCCTCGCCATATAATTATTAAAAAAAAGCATTTTTTTATTATTTTCTTCCTTGTGTTCTTATATAAATACTACAAAAGGCTTTTAAATCTCTTTATAGTAATAGTGAATTAATTAATAAAGTTATTTAAGCAAATTTGGGAAGAAACAAAATTTGGAGTAAAATGAGCAATAGGCAAAATGTTAAACGAGAATGAGCAACCAGAAATTTCGCTAAAAAGTATAAAAGATAAAGAATTTGACTGTTATAGTATTAATATACGTTTAATAAACCCAAAGAATAGGTTTTTTTGCAAAAATTGTTTAAGACTATTGGTCGCTAGTTTAGAATTCTTGAAAAGATCGAATCGTGCAATCAGACAGAACCTACTATAAACTTATTTTAGAAAAATTACTCATGGGTGAGACTGTTCGCTCCCCTTGTTTTTATTAATACGGTGCAGATCATCTATAATCATTAATTGCTTATAGTAACAATTGGTCAACTTCAAAATACTAAAACAA